TAGAGATTTTCTTAGTTTTTGCATTCTCACAAACAAACCCGATGTTTTGTGCAATGAATATGATTTGATGTTCGTGTAGTAAGTGTTGGAATAGAGAATGGCATCATCGACGCAGAGTGTAATCTCATCGTATTACGAACGGCTTCATGGATGGGTATTTAATTTAGAAAAGACACAGAGAAATTATTCATAAAAAACGACGTTGCACCCAAGTGGGTGAATCATCAAGTGCCGCTACTACTGCTGCTATGAATAATTTTCCAAGTGTTGATCAACTCAGAGACATGCTTCATTATGCCATAGGACCAAATTTTTTTAATAATGAAAATACTGCCACAAGAGTAGAAGATGCAACACAATTTGATGCTAGTTTTGATGATCCATATGGTGTTAGTATACAATCGATATTTGAGGAGCCAAGAGGAGATGCAAAAGAGTTCTTTGATCTTTTGCGAGCAGCTGATACACCTCTTTTTGATGGGTGTGATGATGGTGTCATTGTCCTAAAGTTGGTGTGTGAGCTCATGAGTGCAAAAACACTTTTTAACATGAGTGTTACTAATTGGGACTATGTGCTAAAGCGTAGTCTAATGGCCTTCAAAACAGTTGATAGGGAAAAATTGCCAACATATTATTATAGTGCCAAGAAGATGTTGAGGCGTCTGGGTCTCGGGTATAAAAAGTATGATGTTTGTGTGAACAATTGCATTTTGTATTATGGAGAATATGAAAGTCAGTGTTATTTATAGTGCCCAGTATGTGAAGAGCCACGATTTAAGCAACGTGATGTGCATTCTGCTAAGCCTATACCAAGAAAGTCTTTGTGGTATCTTCCAATTATTCCTAGACTTTAGAGATTGTATATGTCTAGGAAAACTGCCGAGCATATGACCTGGCATTTAAATTGTTATAATGAAAATGAGAAAATGTTTCATCCTGCATGTAGAGAGGCGTGGAAGCATTTTGATATCACTCACCCTAAGTTTGCTAGTGAACCAAGGAATGTTAGGTTAGGTTTGTGCACTAATGGGTTCACTCCTTTTGGACATTCTGCATCTCCATACTCTTGTTGGCCAGTATTTGTGTTAATTTATAACCTACCTCCAACAATATGCATGAAGCAAGAATATGTATTCCTTTCATTGATTATCCAAGGTCCCCAAAGTCCTGGAAAGAATATTGATGTAATGCTTCGACCACTAATTGATGATTTAAAGCAGCTTTGGTATTCTGGAATCCAAATTTATGATAGCTTTAGGCATCAATACTTTCTGATGAGGGCTGCACTAATGTGGACCATTAGTGACTTACCTGGGTATGGAATGTTGTCTGGGTGGAGCACACATGGTAAATTAACTTGTCCCTATTGCATGGAAAATTCGAAGGCCTTTT